GAAGTGAAAGAATTCCCTTTTTGTGCCTATGTGCATCTGTCGCAGCAGATCAGATAGGAAGCCAGCAAAAGCACAGCTACAGTAGGCAGATCAAAGATGTTTTTTGTTCAGCTTTCTATCAGGTAGCAGTTTCTGAGATGCACAAAAGCTTCTGGGCTTGTTTGTTTTGTCATGTGTGTGTTTTTTTGTTTTTCTTTCTTTTTGGGCCTTTGTTTTCTCCTAAACAGATTCATGAACACACATAAATTGTCAAAAGGAAAACACAAAATTGTGCTTTTGCTCTTCTTTCTCTGGAATAAAAACCTCAGATGCAAATCTTTTCTGCTTTACCACTGCAGGAAGCAGAAGGTCTCATAGGTATGGTGTGCAGGATTTGGCTCTCCTAAAATATTTTTCACCATAAATGTGAAATTTAAGTGCACAAGGATTGCAGTGATCACATTTTATCTCCTGTATAGTGGAGGCCTTAGGATTTCACTCAGTAATTCCTGCAGAGAAGAGATTGACCAATCAGCCAAGTCATAAGCATAATGATAGGTGGGTGAGTAGGACATGACATCTGGGCCCAACCTAAGGGTGGTGGAGGGGGAAAACAAGTGGAGATAAGGAGGTGCTTTTGTCTCGCCTCCTACACCCCTGAACTCTGCTCCTTCCCTGCAGCAGCTCTGGCTCTGGCAGCAGGGTGTCTCAGACGGCCAGAGCCGACTCGAGGTGATTTAGAAATTACTCGTTCGCTGGGCAGGCTGGGGAATGGAGGGGCAGACAAAGCTTAGTGGTTGCAAAAACTTTACTTACGCCGCTTGTAGCCACGACGCAGATGGTCTGGTCGTTTGAACAACTATGTGAGTTGTTCCAGCTGGCAAGGATCAAGCCAGTCAATCCGTCCACAAATTAAGCCAGCGGGGAAAGGGTACGTTGAGGATTGCGCTCAGCGACGGGCAGAAGAATTGATAGGTGATCAGTCTATCGATCAGCTCAGCCACAAGTCAGATCTCTTTAGAGGCACTCTGCAGCGTGCTCAAAGTTCTCTGACTTGGGCGGAAGTTGCATGAAATTTTAAACGGCTAGCAAGCCAATTACTAGCCGCCACGTAGGAATAATTTAGAACTGACCAATAGCGGGACACAAATTTGCATTCAAATGGCGGGAACTCTCTTGCACCGGGGTTTTTCTGTTGTAACAAAAACCTTTGCTGTGCAAGAGGCTCTCATGTGGTGGGAAAATTCCATCGTGCCGAGGCACCAAAATCACTGGGTTGTGACACAGGGGAGGCACACAGTATAGAGGAGCAGCTAGAGGTTTGGAGCTAGGCAAGAGGAGAGACCTCTCTTCCTTTTTGACCCCAACAATCGATGTTTAAATGGATATTTATTGTTATGTTGGTGGCAAAAAAGGATGTGACATGCCCCCACCCTCCATAACAGCAAACCCCTGGCCACTGCCCTGCCCTGGGTACACTGCTGGCCAATTATGCCACTGAGGCAGGTGGTGAAGTCAATAAGAATGGAGCCCAAGTGCAAGAGGGGCCTTACAATTATGTGTGCATAATTAGTATTCAGTTGAAATGCCACCCTTCACAAAACATGCATATTTTAAAATGAAGATATTTTGGTAATTTGATCATTATTGGTGCAGGTAGGTTACTTTCATAGATTCATAGATGCTAGGGTCAGAAGGAACCTCAACAGATCATCGAGTCTGACCCCCTGCCTAGGCAGGAAAGCGTGCAGCTTTCTCTTAAAGATCCCCAAGACAGGGGGGAGCAGCACCTTCCTTTGAAGCTCATGCCAAATTTTGGTCATCCTTACCATGAAGAAGTTTTTCCTGATACCTAGACTAAATTTGCTTTCTGTCATTTTGTGACCATTGTTCCTTGCTACCCCAAGAGGTGTCCTGGTGAACAGAGCATCTCCGATCCCTTGCTGTGCCCCACTAATTAATTTGTAGGTGGCCACAAGATCACCTCTCAGCCTTCTCTTATGGAGGCTGAAGAGGTCCAGGTCCCTCCTTTATTTACTTTTTTGAGTCACTGTATTTACTTGCATACCACTTATACATCCCCACCCTCAATCAGTCTTTCAAAATGGGTAAGTCTGAAACAAGGAAGTTGCTTTTTCATAGCTGAAATAGAATCAGAGAAGAACAGAAGCAACCAGACACTGTGCAGGCTAGGTAAAGACAGTAAAAAAGCCCGTGGCTGAATCGATTCAGTCTTTGCAGGTTAGTCTAAGTTGCACAGATTAAATTGAAACAGAAGTAAACAGACATTTACCTTTGATTCAGAAAATGCAGTCACATGCCTGTAGTGGTTCAGGACAGAAGCCAGGGGGCACTAGAACATGGCTCTCTGGCTGTGTTCATTTCCTCTTCCTGCTGCCCCCCAAGGTCTCTGGGTTTGCAGTCCAGACATACAACAACAGCACTCTGCAGGGTTGCTCATCACTTCCTCTTCCTGCTTCCAGGTGCCTCTGGGATTTGTTGTCCACAGTTGCAGCCAGCAGTAAGTTGAAGGGGGGTTAAGAACCTCTTCCCCCCCTCACTGGTCCCAGACCCCACCCAGGGCTTGCCAAGGGGGGCAGTTCTCCCCCTTCTCCCTCCCACCTCCCCTCCGCACACTGGGCTGCATCCCCAGTCAGGGTTTCCCCTCCCACCCCCTTCTCAGCCAGCACTCACTGCTCCAGCTAAGAAGCAGAGGGGCAGGGCTAGCTCTGATCTCTGGAGCAGACAGCACATCTCAGCCTAGGGCTGGAAAGCATGCTGAGGGACTCTGATTTAACTTAAACCAGGAAGGGGTCTGGGACAGAAGTTTCATAAACCAGTTTGACCCAAATCAGTTAAATATGATACTACATTCAACCAGGTTTATCGTAAACCAGTTTCAGCCATTTTGAAAATGGTTTATGTGCACTGAACATCTGTTCTTTCACAGGTTTAAACCAGTTTCTGATCCTTTAAACCAGTTTATGTGTAACTTCTGTCCCTAGCCCTAATGGCTGCCAAGATGTACCTGTAGCTTGACTGAGCACTGTAGCTTGTGTCTGAATCAGTAACTGCATGTAGTCTTATATTTTGATGAGGTTTGTGGTATGGAAACAATATATACTATTAACAGGAACTTTTATAAGAACTACTAATAGGAAAGAAGTAACAGTTATACTACTGCCTTTGCAAGGACTTGTGGCCTATCCTTGCTGCTGTACTGTCACACCAGGAAGCTCTCTTTGTGAGACAGTGTCTTGGAATGCCAGGCCCCCTGGACACTTGGTGTTTCCAGGAGAACTTACTCTATTGTCACACAGTTAGCCATAATTCTGGAGAAACCTTTATTTTTCTACATTTTGCTTTTCCAGGACAAGGCACTTGTCTTATCTGGTTTGTGTATGTGAGAAAATAGAATATAAGCACATCCACAAAAGGTACCTGACATTTAAAATACGAAGCAACTTAAAAACAGAATAAAGTAATACCATAGCATAGTGAAACAAACTCACCCCCTAAAACTCAAAAACAACCTACCCCACCCCACCCATTTCAGCTCCACCATCTCCGCTTAAGAGAGGATCTCCCTGCCCACCCCAACACCCATTCACTAGTTTCATAAAGGATAAACATGTCCTTACCATATTCCCTCCCTTCTCTACCCACTCCCACTCCTTTTCCTTACACCCCTTCCTATTCCCTTAATGTCCCTCCCACGTTGTACCTTCCTCTTTTGTAGTTATCTATAAAAGCCACTCCTCTCCTTCTTGAAAAGAAACACATTATTCAGTTTAATCAATTATAACTAGAAATATAATAGACCTTCCCTGTACCTGCTTCTGTGCCCTCTGAAGGGCAACACCAGTGGGCACATGAGTCCTACTCTTTGGTAGAACTTGCCTTCAGTGTCCAGCCCAGATTAGCCAGTGGTCTCCATAAAGCGTGCAGGCTGGCTTGTCTCTATCAAGTTCAGGAGGCCTGCTGTGGATCATGTTGGTTGTCATCCAGAGCCAGGAGTTGAGTAGTGGACAGAGGGGAAGAGAAAATGATCTTACTGTTTAGTAATAGTCACTAGTCTATTGTACACCTCAGCTAATTCACTTTAGCCTTCTCTTTTAAGAGCTTTCTTTTTCTTGTGTTGAGCTTTGGCTATGCAGAATTAGCCAACTGTGCTGTGCTTTCAATGACTGTCACTAAAAACATTATAGAAAAATGTCTCCAGTAGCTCCTCCTGCATTCACCAGGATTTGTCATTTTTCTTTGGCTGATCTAAAAAATTAAAAAAAATTATCTGGGGGTAGTTACTATTTTTTATAGTAACAAGCACATGATCAATTGGTACTGTGATAATGAATAACAATAGTCTTGATAATTTATCAAATTTATTTCACTTGTGTCCTATTTATTCATTCATTTATTTGTTCATTCATCTAGGTACTCATTCTTGCTATGCTGCTTACCTTTTTTATATGATTGTTTAAATATACCTTCAGTTCAGCACTTGGTAAATCAGTTTACGATTCTGGTCTAACCTATGATGTTGAGTGCACAGTTGAACTGCAGAACAATCAGAACGTAACACAACATTTCATACTAACCACACCATTAACTCAAGTCATCACAATGCCATCTCCTAAGAAGAGAAATCTTTGTATGTTTGTTTTCATGCTGTGATGAATGATAGGAAGGAAATCCAGCCACAACAGTATATCCAAATTATCACAGACTTCTTAGCATGATGCACTTCAGTCATGCCCATTGGCAATAAAAGTCCCACAGGTTTTTAAGCGGCTTGTTAGGAACATGACAGTTTCGTTCCACTGCATACTTTCTCAGTTGGGGGCTTGCTTAAAGGAGCCACTCCCCTTTATACTTAATGTAAAATGTGCATAAAGAAAAGATTCTGTGCGCCATTATTTTTTTTATGTTGAGACATTCCTTACCTTTTGAATACACTAAACTCATAATATACAAAAACTGATGATAATGAATGTTTTATTCTTGCACACTTGCTTTGACAGACACTTGTGACCCAACTGGTTGATGACTTGGGGAAATGAGCTAAGCAGTGAAGTGTACTTCCCTGACATTTTGGATGATATGGCAGTATACTGACAGGTAGAGTTTGTCTTTTTTTCTTTTTTTTTTCCTTCTTTCTTTCCTTCCTTGTTTCTATGTATAAATCTTCACAGCTGCTGAAAATCTGCACTAAATCAAGTCATCTCATACTTTTAAAAAATCAATTTTGCTTTTAGGGTAAAACATTTTATTTCATTGTTTAAGTGTATTTTGAATAAAATGCATACCAGTTATAGGCCCATGAAACTGACATAAAAGACTTGTGGAAAAAATGGAGCACATTTGGTGCACATCTCAACAGCAATACTTGATTCAGTTCAAAGGCCTGTACAAGTGACCAGTTCTGTAGAAGGAACTATATTTACAGATGCCTGTACTGTATGTTATGCCTTTCAGACTATTTCAATTTACATGCAGATTGGAGGAAATGAAAGTCCTTTTACAGTCTGCTCTGTGCCTCTTAAAAGACAGAAATTCATTTTCTCTTTTTGAGCTCCACTTTTATGATACTTTTTCTCGTAATTACAGGGTATTACTTTTGTCAAATGGGATATGTCTCATTTCAAAGGCATACCTCAGCAGAAGCTCTTTCAGAGAGGGAAAAAAGACAATGTCACAGCCTCCCTCATGTTTATTAATATTAATATGCTACTGTCTAGTTCAATTGTTGCTCACAGAATCCATTCCAAGATGCTTTTCCAATATTGATGGCAGGCATCTAATGCTGGGGAACAGAAGCTATTGATAATGTTTCATCCAAACTTATTTAAAGTTCACATCAGACAAAGACAGCCTTTATAAGCATTGCATTGTCATGTGTTTGATGGCAATTATAAAGCACTCTGAGGTAGGAGTCACAATGAGTTGGAATCTGCAGCTATAACCCTAGGAGATGGCAATCATTTTATATTAGTTAGTTGTTTTGGAGTGATGCTTTCTGGGGTGGGAAGGAAAACAGTGCAAGTCTTTGAATAAATATGGCATATTTGAGGTCTTACTACTTTGTGTTGTGCTGTTTTCTAAGCAGTTGAGGTTTTTTGGCCCAGGTCAGTCAGCATTTGGAGGGATACTTTCAAGGACTCTCTCTGCATCATTAGACACAAAATAAATTACTTATAGGAATCCATAGATGCCCATCTTTCTGCTGAATTAGTACTACAGCAATGTCCCAGCAGAGTGGCAGGGGATAACATAATACTGAATGTACTGTTGTTTGGATGGGATGCACTTTTAATGTCCAGGCAAGTGCTGGTCATTAAGGATTCCATAAAAATCATCTTTACAGTAAGATATTTGTCATGTTGCCCTGACCAAATTTCATTTTGTACAAAACTATTCTGTGTTTACTTTTGCAGTTGTCATTCAGCCTTATCTTTCTAATGTGTCTAAAGCAGCTATGATGTTGATGGTGTCAAACAAAAGTTAGATTCTACTACTAAACTAGCTACACATTATTAATTATTCCAAGAGCATGGCATGGTAGATGTGTATATATATTTTTAATTTTAGAAATGACTTTAAACCACCAAATTCTAATAAAAAAAAATTGGAAATGTTTCGATTCAGACTTCTCTGTTTTGAGATGAACTAAGCAGTGCAATTGTCAAATGTTGCTACTGTGTGTCTCCCCTCACTGAACAATGTTGTGCTATCCAAGTTGAATAAGAAAATAGTATGAAGAAAGTCTTGTTGATTCTGGCCTGATGCTTAATTTAAAGTTCTCTGATTTGACTACCAGGATCATCTTGATTAGATTGATTGTGAGTTGTGGTGAAGAAGTAGTGTTTGCTACCATCAGTTGAAAACAGCTTTCCTATCTAATGTGGAAGTCTGAGATGGTTTTCAAACTTCCTGAAGTCATGGAACCCTGTCATATCATTTCTTCTGCTGTGAAGCCCCTTCCCCTATCCTAAAGACTGACAATGGAGCCAGGCAACTTGGCCTAGCAATGGTGGTACACTGCCTCCTGGCCTGCTCTACCATCACCCCCAGTCTCTTTGTGGAACTCCAGGGTTCTATGGGACATAGCTTGAAAACCACTGAAAACATACATTACTATGTTCAAGTGTGTTTTCTTGTTGTTTTTACCATTGCTTTAGAGTTGGAATTACAAGTGGCTCGTTTTGGGGAATGTTGTCTGGTAATGTGGCACTAGACTGCAGCTAGTTCTGTTTTTTTCAAGGCTTGATAACATGCTCATCGTCAAGAATGAAGATCCACAATGATAGCAAGTACAGGAATTAATGGGGGCCGGGGGAAGGGGCAAAAGGGAACACAGTTGTCTTTTGCACATAAAGCACCCTATGCCTTAATGAATTCAACTTTTGGTATAAGCTCACATATGTGAGAAATATATTAATGTAAATATAACAAACCTCTAATATGTGTGTTTAAGCTGAGGTGAGAACATGTGTGTTTGTGAGTGTATAATGGGAAGAGATCACTCAGGGCAGCAGAATGCTGTTGAGTACTCTTAGTTGTGGCATGTTCAAGTGCTGCTCTTTAGCTACAAAATTCTCGGTGTGGATTTCAAATTGCTTAGGAAGTAAAAATGCGCACACACGTGCACGCACACACCCGGCAAAAGGGATTACAGTTGTTCTTTTCTCCCCCAGGCTTTTACAGCTGGACTCACAAGTCATGTCATCTGAAAGTTAGTATGACACAGACAATAATCCAGGTCATCATAATATCATCCACTCTGGCAAAACCAACTGGAGTAAATAAACAAGCAAAAATGTAAAATCCCTTTGTTATAATCAAAGAAATACTACAGGAGAGATGAAGTCGGCTTGGTTTTAGGACAACAATCCATAATTTATTTTGCAGATGTCTCTGTAATTTAAACAGCAGGCAGAACAACCACACAGTTGTAGATGCTCTGGGGAAAGGATACCCAGAGCCTCGTAAATCATGGTGAGGATTAAAAGCAATGAACATTCATCTTCTTAACCTCGTAAAGCAATATTGCAAAGCCAAGGATTACAATTTACTGTGCATGTAATCTTTGTTCAGGGATAAAGGGTGTCAGCTTTTTTAAAAGCTTCTCTCAATTAACAATGGCATGTGCCTTTTGGGAAAGGAGCAAGAAAAATAGTTTCAAAGTTGACTTAACATGAGTTCCTTCCTATTGAAAGAACATTTAGTAAGAGCTTTTTCTATGAAGAAAAAAGAAAAAGGAACAGAAGCCTGGATCTGATGGCAATTTGTTTGCTATTAAGAAATTACGTTTTTCCCTTCTTTCTAGAACTGCAGGTGAAACTTGACTTAATACACAGGAAATTTGGGGGGAAATGGGCTTCTCATCTCATGCATTTCATTTCTGGACTTCAAAACAACTTCTTACCCTGCTTGATTTAAGGGTGTGCTTTGCAGAAACTCAGTATTATTCACTAGCACTCATACTGTATGCTACATTTCCTCCACTGAGCAAGTGGAGTTTTAATGGCTCCAAGGCCAAGGTTTACCAAGATTTATAAAGTAAATCTCTAAAATTAATCTCTTAATTCTCTGGATGCCAAAGTAGGTGGACTCATTTTAAAAAATACTGAACAATCAGCGGTACCTATTTAATTCAATCACACATGACTTCATTGGGAGTTGCCCAAAATTGTCCGCTTATTCAGATATCTGTATATGGAGTTTAAAAGCCTAACTTAGGCGTTTACAAGTTTGGCCTTCAGTTGCATAGAATTATTTTATGTTTTCATCCCCATGCAGTCTTGTTTTGAATGGTCCAGAACAATGTGATTTTTTTGAGTTTTAAGTATCATTTGTTTTTGAAAAATTCCAGCTGCTTGAGGGAACTCAGTCATTTACATTGTGAAATATTTTTAAAGTGTGTCACTTTTTTCCTCTCTTGTTTTTCCTGCCACTATAATATCCTCAGATTTAAAGGGTTTGTTTTTTTTTTACTTTTCCATTGAATTTTCTAATAGAATCACTGTTGATAGGTCTGTGCTTCCTATATTCCTCTCCCATACCATCACAGCTGGGCTTTTCTCCCCAAGATTGAAAATGTTAAGCAATAGGGAAACAGGCACATGAACAATGCAGTGTTTAGCTCCCTAGATTATAGGAGTGGGGTGATATTTATATCTTTAAAACATAATTTAATGCCTTTTAGCCTCTTCTGCAGCCCTACTTTTCCTCTGCAGTGAACAAAGCTTGGGCACTTGAGTCTGGTGCCCCAGGCATCCACTTAGAGAGGGTGCCAAAATGGCAGCCAGCACTGCTGCCAGCCCAGTGTTTGTACTGCCAGGTCACAGTTATGCCTCTGATTTCGTTCAGACCTTATCACTTCCATCCCCTCCCTTCTATAAAACCTTATTTCTCCTCCTACATCCTTTACAAAGGCCTTCTGCAATCTTACTGCCTGTATTGGTTGACTTTTAAAGTCATTTCACTCCTAAATGGTCTTATGCTGCCAACTTTATCTTACTGGCTGTGGAGCTTAAAGATGCCCATGAGCCTTTGTGTGTCACTAAGAAAAATTAGATATGGAAACAGACAAGTACTAAGGGAAATTCAGCATTTTGGTTGCAACTCCATGTCATTAATAATTTGATTCTGTTTTTTAAGGCCCATTGCTTTCTTCATGATTTTCCTGAATGCAAAAATCCCTTAATTCATGTCATTATACAATCTGAATCATGAATCATTTTATTCTAATGGAAATGGCAAAGGATGGTTGGCCCTACTGCAAGTGTTATTCCCTTGGGATCCTTGAGCCAGAGCTTTAAAAGACATCAAAAGCTATTTTGAGAGCAAAAGGGATAAGTCTTTGAAAATGGTTGTGGATGGTTATGTCCATGCTCTTATAAATAATCATAGAGAGCTTGAAATAAAACTTCAAATGGTTGGAGTCTAACATCTGAGTCAATGCCATATGCCAAAGCAATACTTAATGTTTCTCTGTTGACTCGGATGGGATCCTGTTAGTGCTTTGCTTTTGAAAATCTGACCATTTAAAATACTGAAATGTGGATGGCAGAGCTGTTTTCTCCTGTTTGGGGGGTGGGGGAAGTAATGTCTAGAAA